GTTGTGTCATACATTAACTCACAGCCTTAAAAGCTATGTTACACAACTGTATGCTGAGTGCGGATCATTTGCATGCATTGAAAAATGATGTTCGAGTGTGTGAGGGACAACACCTCATGTAAAGGGATATTGAGAGGTGTAAACAAAAGCCATAGAACTACAAGCGCGTTACATTTATATAGAGTTTGAAACACTTTACTACAGCCATTTGCTATATCGAGCCCAGAATAATGTCTTTGAAGCCAAAAGTAAATAAATCATTTTATGGGTACGTGAGCAACATAAAAACAAATGAACGGATATTTCGTGATCCTATGATGTGCAGAAAATCTTTGTATGTGACGAAACATGCGCGATAATAACATGTGCTAGAAAAAAAAAACAAGTGGGTAAAAGCCACTTCAATAAAGAATCACCGCTCGCACCATTATAACTAACTCAGAGGGATTGCATTTGTCATTCAATCATGCTGAATAGCACTAAGTATTATGCAGGAATCATGCAGGAATTTGTAAGAAAAGGACACCACGAGTGCAAGGGGACACACGCAAAAAGTGCTGGCACTGGCAAGAATTCCCGCACAGCATCGCGGCTTCTCGTGCCGAAAGCCAGTGCAGACGAATGCCGTACCCCCCAATACATTGTGTGAGCCGCAATTTTCGCTCTCCACCTATCGCCTGATTTCATAAAATGTGAAGCTGTAAAAAAATACACAACAATACGCACCCTTTGTAGCCTTGTGCAAGCAGTAATTTCATTTTAAAAACTTCATGAAAAATGTAATATTATTTCTGTCCAGGTTTTTTTTCACTTCAGCAAACATACTTTGCTAACTTAGGCCAGAGGCTGGTAGACGATCAGAAGGAATTTTGGAAATATGTTAAAAGAAATGGTAAGGAGGACACTTCTGTTCCACCATTGCACTGGTCCAACCAATTATAAATGATGATCAGAGTAAAGTCGAAATTTTTGTTAATTCTTGTTCATCGGTATTTCAGTCTGATTTTTCAGATGCTAGTGCAGTTACAATTAATGATTTTTCTGTTCAAGTCGACAAAATGCCTGAGGTTGTGTTTAGTGCGACAGGAGTAGAGAGATTATTGCAAGGCTTGAAACGCACGAAAGCGAGTGGTCCGTATGATATCCCGGCATCCTTTCTTATTAACTGTTCAGGCACTCTGTGTTTATATTTTGTCGTTTATTTCAAAATTCCTTAAATGACTGCATAGTTACTGGGGACTGGAAGTTGGCCTGCTGTGGTACCAATTCATAAAAGTGGACAGAGGGACAGAGTTGAGAATTATAGGCCAGTGTTGTTAGCTAGTATTGTATGCAAAGTCATGGAACATGTGATCTATAGAAACATCATGTCTCACCTTGTTGCCAATAACCTTCTTCATCCTAATCAGCATGGGTTCCAGCAGGGCTTTTCTTGTACGACACAATTGGTAGAATTTACTCATGACCTTGCCTCAGCTGTTGACAAGCAGCAAAGTGTTGACTGTATATTTTTGGATTTCAGAAAAGCTTTTGACGTCGTTACGCATAGTCTCTTGATCGCTAAACTTCGATATTACAAATTGGATCATAGGGTTATTGCTTGAATAGCCGAGTATCTTTGCTCAAGGCAGATGTCTGTGGCTCTGAACGGTTGTTCCTCTACATATGTTGCTGTGACCTCTGGTGTACCACAGGGACCAGTCTTAGGTCCGCTTTTATTTTCATTGTTCATAAATGACATCACTTTCGATATCACATCATCATTAAAAATGTTTGTAGATGACTGTATAGTATATAGGGCCATCAATAGCGACCTTGAAAAACAAGCACTGCAATACTATTTAGATTTAATTGCTGCATGGCTGTGAAAAATGGCAAATGTCGTTGAATGTGAAAATAAGCGTCCACGTCACCTTTACCAGGAAACTTTCACACTGCAGAAATCATTACACGATAATAACGCTAATCTTCAACATGTCACGGAATATAAATATCTAGGCATATTTTTCACTGCTGATTTGATATGGAATAAACATGTCACTTACGTTAGGAACAAGGCGGTAGGAACATTAAGTTTTCTGAAACGTAAATTCAGTAGTTTACTACAAAAACATTGAGAGCAGCTCTATTTTACACACGCCCGCAGTATACTGGAATATGCGTGCGTCTGCTGGGACCCATATACTAAAGAACTTACAGATAAACTTGAAAAAGTTCAGAATAGAGAAATTCGATTTGTCCTTGAAAATTACAACAGGATGCTTAGTGTGACAGAGAGCAGGAAAACATTAAATTGGGATCTTCTTGAAAACCGTCGTCGAAACCTCAGATTAAAATTCTTTCATAGCATTTATCATTCGAGAACAGGATCATCAGGCAATTGTATTCTCAATCACCCAACTATGTTTCTCAAAGACGCGATCATCACTTAAAAATACACGAGAATCTTTTTGGGGGTGACACTTTTTGCTACTCTTTCTTTGTCCGCACTATAAGAGAATGGAGAATTCTGCCACCGGAAATAGTGTCTATTGAATAAAGTGATGATTTTTTCCATGCTTTATGAATGTTTTTTATGTGTTTGATCATATGTACTGTACCATCCCTGCTGTAATGCCTTATGGCGAAGCAGGTACTAATAAATATAAAATAAAAAAATCTATGAGTCTCTACAATAACACAGCTGAATATCATTATATTCCTTTCAGCAGTTGCAGACAAAAGGTACATTGAACATGTGAACCCCCTTTAAAATTTGGAAGTTAGCCACAGGAAGGATAGGTAACCTAGGCATTAAAAGAAAGGGTGCCACCTGATACCCAGTGGCATTTTTTGTGAGCATGTAAAATTTTATGGGATTACGTGCAGCCATTTCTAACATACTACCTTAACTGACATATACCTTTTTACCCTACCATACCCCCTCAAGCTCACTGGATGGTCAAATGGCTCAACTTCATTGTTTTTAGTGGCGAAGCCCCTTAGGATGTGGGTAAGTTCCTCGGCGTCATTGTAGCCACCCCTAGTACATAGAATGCTCACTAGATAGCACTGCAATGCTCGGTCTGCTAGTACTCGAATTGCTCATTAGATGGTGCATGTTTGGCACGCTTTCTCTTCCGCCGGCAGTCACTGCACTTGTGCGCCTCACCATGAGCAATGAAGACAAGGCGGTGAAAGGGAGGGCTAAGAAAGCGACGGCAGCGGGCGCTCACCGTCAATACCCGGAGGTGAGAACCCACGAAGCCGAAGCTGCATGGAAGTGCCGGCAAGAGGATCCTGAGACGACAAGGGCTCTAGCAATGGCTGCGAAACGTGCACAAAGGCAAACAGATTCCAAGCTGAGAGCCCCAGAAGCGGCTGTTAACAAAGACAGGTGGATTGTGAGCTGAGAGCCCGCGAAGCTTCGCCCCACTCGTCATCACTTACTGTGTAGATATGCTGTAAATACTAACTTTGTCAACACCATTTTGGAGCAGGTTTGGAGCAGTTACAAGCAAATATTACACTTTGGAGCAGCATTTCTCTTTTGCAGCAATTAGGAGCAATTGGAGGAGCACTTCCATCACTGCTGTAGCCACCAAAAACATGGTGCACTTTTTCATCACCACCGTGCATACGCAGACTGCCCTCCCAAATAAGATCCATTAGCTCTTTCCCACAGCGCAATTCTTTTTCTCTCTTATGGCATATTCAGAGGGCCATTTTTGAGCGCTCTGAAAAGTGGCTGCATGTTCTGCTGTAGAATTTCAGTGCTTGAACCACCTCAATAGGTTCTTTGGCAGGTGACAGCGCAAGCGTGCATTTTGGAAGTGGAGAGCTTCAGATGCATGCACATACATTGGCTTGTGTTCACGGAATATCTGAGCTCATGGTGAGTGACAAGTATTCACAGAGTTACGGTGGTTCTTGAAGTTCCTTTGCTAGAGCACGCTGTGCAGGTATCGTGCCAGGATAGGAACCACGCTATCATGAACAATATAGCATTGTATAATAGTAAAATAACAAACAGGCATCACCTAATGCGAATTATGCAATGAGTGGGCCATTCAATACTTTAATTTCATTATAAAAGACTCACTACAATATTCGCCATCATCAGCCACAGCACAAAGTGCGCATAATTGTTTTAAATATATGTGTAGCAGGTGCCTTGCTTATCAACAGAACAAAGAACAGTGGCAGATTGCTTGCTTCCTTACTTCCAAAAAGTTGTGGCAGTTTATGGCGCAGTGGGTACCCTGCTTGTGTACTCGTAATAGTTAGTCCCAAGATGGTCAACAACGGGCCCTGGAATGGGCACTCTTCCAGCTTTCACCGTGACTGTGCTGCGTGTTCTGCGCATGTCTGCCTTTTTTTTTTTCTTTCGGTTCTTGCCATTGAACACTTCCCCGCCTTTCCCTCCATACACCACAAGGCATCACATTCACGCAGTAATATTGAATATGCTTCGTGGGCTCCGGGTGCTTCTGCGAAATGTGTAGCGGCGATGGAAGAAAAGTGTTGATTCCACGAATGAGAGTCAATTCCCACATATACAAATTCCATCCTGTAGCCGGTACACGTCATTGGGGAGAAGATTCATAGCACCACCTCTTCGAAACTTAGGTCCGGCAATATCAGCTGTTCTTTCTTTTGGCACCTCTACCAGCTCTGGGCCAGTCACAGGGATGCTTACTATGCCATAGAGTAATTTATCATCCGGACTAAAAGACTATTGAGCTAAATTCTTCTTCCTTTTAAACATTTAAATAGTAATATTCCCTAACTAAGTTTGTTTTATTACCTATACCTAGCTTATACGAGAAGTATAGGAAAGAAACGCTTAAAAGTCAAAAACAAAATTCACCAAACATTCGGCCAATCCCCTGCACTGGGCAAAAGCCATGAGAAGAGAAGAAGAGAAATTCGTGGTGTTGGAGAGCCGGCTTTACGGATTTCTGTGTCGATCGTGAGCTGTGCAACGCATGTTCACGTGCAGGCGAGTGAATATAAGATACCTGTGCAGCCCGGGCCCCGGCGCGTGTGAGCGCCAGGCACAGCACTCCGCTGGTGGCAAAGTCCAGCCGGTGGCAGAAGCGAAAGCCGTGCTCCACACTTGGATCAACCAACTCCGGAAGCTGTCGGCGCAGCAGAGACTCGACGCTCACCGGGTGCTCGTGCTCCTTCTGTGTGTTGATCACCAGGTCGGCTGGCTTGTCCACCACCAGGAAGTGTGCGCTACAATGGAGCACGCGCACCTCTGTGTCATCTCTGTTCATAGCATAGAGAATTTATAGCACGCATGATTATCACATAATGCATTACCAGAAACTGACATTGTACTCTGTACTACAAAGGAGTTAGTGACGCAAGCGGGAGCACGGGTACTGCGCGTTGACGCCGTTAGGTGCCGCCGCTGCATCTTTGGACGGGAGAGTGCGAGATAATTATACTAGGAGACATGAATGCGCACATAGAAGATATAGATGGGTATACCGACCCGACAGGCAAAATGATCATGGATATGTGTGAAAGGCTTGATTTGATCATTTGCAACAGTACCGAGAAGTGTGAAGGGCAAATAACATGGGAGGTAGGAAGGCTTCAGTCGACGATAGGTTATGCACTGATGTCACATAGGATGTATGATAAGCTCAGGGGAATGCACATAGATGAAGGTGGCTCCAGAAGTCTGGGTAGCGATCACAAACGTATCAAGCTAAGTTTTTTAAGAGCAGTGAAAGTGGGAAGGAGACAAGATGAGCAACTACAGGAAAATTTTTATTCAGAAAGGCAAATTGAAATAGCCACTAAACAAACTGAGAAAGTAATCACGGAGGATAATAAGACAGTGTGGACATACACGAATCTAATTAGACTCTTTGAGCTAGAGCTTGCTAAGACGCGTGACAAGTCACCCCGGAAAAGAAGACACAAACCCAAAAGTTGGTGGGATGAGGAAGTTAAGAGAGCCATAGCAAAACGTCAGGAAGCCTCTAGGGAACACAGACATGCTAAGCAGCGGGGTGAACCGACAGATGATGTTGAAAGAAAATGGGCAACCTTTCTAAGCTGTAGAAGGGATGCATCCCTTCTGATCAATGAAAAGATTAGAAGGAAGGGAGCTCAGTGGCTGGCAGAAGTACATAAAAAAGATAGAAAGGCAGCTGCGAAATTTGGAACCATCTAAACTCCCTAAGAAATGAGACGAGCCTAGAGCAGAGTTTTATAATTACAGCCCAAGGTGCTAGGCTAGAAGGGGACGAAGCTATTGAATATGTAAGAACAAGGGTGACAGAAAAATTTCAACAAAAAGGTAATAATGCACCACAATAGACAAGGACGAATCAAGTGGTGCAATGGCTCCATTTTCACAACAAGAGTGGGAAAGGGCTGAGAAAAGGGTTCCTAGTAGTACATCAACAGGCCCAGATGGCATTCCAATTAGGCTGATAAAGACATTAGGTCCGAAGTCTAAGCAGGCATTGAGAGAGGCAGTGAGCACAATAATAATCGATGGTGAAGTTCCCGATGGATGGAAACTTAGCAGGATGAGCATGATCTATAAAGGAAAGGGGGACAAAGCTGACATAAACAACTACCGTCCTATAACAGTGACATCAGTGGTCTACAGGTTTGCGATGCAGATTATAAAGGAAAGACTGCAGGCGTGGATAGAGGATGAGGGGGTGCTGGGGGAACTGCAGAATGGGTTTCGGAAACACAGGAGGTTGGAAGACAATCTGTTCTCACTGACGCAGTGCATCGAAATAGCAGAAAAGGAACACAGGCCCCTGTGGCTAGCATTTTTGGATATCAAGGGAGCGTACGATAGCGTGGTTCAAGAGGAATTGTGGGGAATACTGGACACACTAGGCGTGGAACATATGTAGTCACTAACCTTTTAAAGGGTATCTATAAAGGTAACAAGGTAGTTATAAAGTGGGAAAAACAGGTATCCAAGCCTGCAGAGGTAAAACGGGGGCTTAGGCAGGGGTGCCCACTGTCACCCTTACTATTCATGATGTACCTACAAGGATTAGAGGCAAAATTAGAGGGAAGTGGACTGGGCTTCAACCTCTCTTTAGTCAAACAAGGAAAACTTATTGATCAGGCACTACCAGCATTAATGTACGCAGATGATAGAGTGCTAATGGCCAACAACAAGGAAGGTTTGCAGAGATTGATGGACATTTGCGGTAATGAGGGAGATAGGTAAGATTTTAGATTCAGTAAGGAAAAATCAGCAGTCATGACTTTTAATGACAACGAATGTAGTGAGCTTAGAATACAGGAGGTCACGCTAGAGATAACAGATAAATACAAATATCTGGGCGTATGGATAAGCAATGAGACCGAGTGAGAGAGAGAGAGAGAGAAAAAACTTTATTTGCGCATAACGCGGAGCATTCCAAATGGTCGGGCCCCTATTCCAGGGCTCCGCTGGCCCTAGCCATCATCTCTACCCGTTGGACCAGCCAGCGCTGATCAACAATGGCCGAGCTGGACAGCAGCGCCTCCCACTGTTCCTCTGTGTTGTTCATGTTGTGGTGTTCTTCATTGTGATGCGTACACTCCCACGTGATGTGAAACAGAGTTGGTGTGGCCCCACACCACGGACATATATCTTTGTATGCTGTGGGGTAGAATACATGCAGCCTGTGTAAGTTCGTGTATGTGTTTGTTTGGATTCTGCGTAATGCCACCGATTCCATTGCTGTAAGTTTCTTATGCGGTGCTGGATACACTTTTCTATTGTCCCTGTAATACTGAAGAATTGCACCAAAGTTAGGGTCTAGGGGCGTTGGATCCTCTATTGCAGTGTGCAAGGAAGCTCGGTAATCTGTGAAGCCTCGAGCCGCCTCATCCGCAAACTGGTTCCCGGTGACGCCCTCGTGCCCCGGCGCCCAGATAATGGTTTGGGTGTATTCAATTGGGAAGTCCTTGTGAGGTTTGGTTAGAATTTGGAAGGCCTTCATACATATTCTACCTTTTTCGTAATTTCTACATGCAGCCTTCGAGTCTGTGATTATTGTCATTGGGGTTTTTCGCTCCCTGCCCTCCTTGATTGCTAGCGCAATCGCTATCTCTTCCGCTTCTGTGATAGAGGCTTGGGCTATGGAGGCACAACTTGTGACGTTTCCTTTTCGGTCTGTGACCACGGCCACCATGTTCTTTGCATTTACCTGATATGGTGCAGCGTCAGTAAATCTCGCCGTATTCAGATATTTTGTCTGTTTATCTATGTAAGCGGCTCTTGCTTTACGTCTTCCAGCATGTAAAACTGGGTCCATGTTCTTCGGTAGGGGGCATATTTTGTACCGAGTATCTGAGGGAACACGAAACATACGTGACGACTAAAGGTAACAGGAATGCAGCAGTCATGAAAAATAGGGCACTGTGGAATTACAATAGGTATGATGTTGTGAGGGGAATATGGAAAGGGGTCATGGTTCCTGGGCTGACGTTCGGCAATGCGGTCTTGTGCATGAGATCTGAAGTTCAAGCAAGATTAGAAATTAAGCAACGTGGAATAGGTAGGCTTGCTTTAGGAGCTCACGGGAATACACCAAATCAGGGGGTACAAGGTGATATGGGATGGACATCATTTGAGGGCAGGGAAGCTAGCAGCAAGATAAAATTTGAGAAGCGATTGAGAGAAATGGGGGAAGAGCGTTGGGCTAGGAAGGTTTTCAGCTACTTGTACATGAAGAATGTCGATACAAAATGGAGGAAGCGAACCAGGAAGTTGACTGGTAAATACTTAGAAAACAGCAGGTGGCCAAACCAAAAAGAACTAGCGGTTAAGAAGAAAGTGAAGGAAACGGAGACTGGCATGTGGAGAATGGGCATGATTAAGAAGTGCGCACTAGAGATCTATCGAACATTTAAGCAGGAAATTGCCAAGGAAAGGATCTATGATAATACTCGGGGTAGTTCTCTACTGTTTGAGGCTAGGACGGGAGTACTGCGAACCAAGACATATCGGGCCAAATACACACAGTATGCAGTGCGTGTGGAGAGGAAGAAGAAACTGCCGAACACTTGATAATGTTCTGTAAAGGGCTTCACCCTATAGTTCAGGATGATGGCGCTGAGTTTTTCAAAGCACTGGGGTTTAGGGACCGGGAGGGCAAAATAGACTTTAAGCAAGTAACTTAACTAGAAGGAGGTTATCTGATTGGTGGCTAAAGTCAAGGCACGAGTGAAAATTAAACTCTTCACTGCAAAGTACGAATCCTCAAACTCACTTTTTAAGGAAAAAATAAATTAATATAGTTTTTAGTTCATTAAGTATTACGGCTTGGTGAGAACACCTGCCGGCCTTTGAGACGACGGCCTTTGAGACGATAACGGTGGTCTCGAGACCACCGTTATTCTAGGCACTGTGTCGGGTTAAGGGGTTCCTTGTTACCAAATGAAATTTTAAAGTGATGCAGAGAAGTGTACCATTTGCGGTACCTGCAGGTCAACGTCATCTGCAGCAGCCCGTACATCTAACTGCACTTAACTGTCGCAAAAATTTAATATTCAACTTTCGGGTTTCACAATTTTTTCCTTCTTTGCGTATAAAGTTTTCTTCCCAATTACCGGCTTCAGTCGCGGCGCGCGCGGCAAAGTCGCAGACGAGCTGGACAACCACTGCAGTCAGCTGTAGTTACCAGCATTATCAGGTTACTGCCGGCGCGTTGGGTGCAGTCACCAACAATAAGTGGAGCCACGACAAGCCTAGAGGTGCCTCCAGACCAGCCGTAATGGAGCAAACATCACGGCTGCATTGCAAAGCAGATTTTAAATCGCGCGCAAAAACACAGGAGGGGTGGTTTCCTGTCATCACCATCATCAGCGGCAGCGTCTGATCAAACGGGTAAAGAGTACTGCACTCACGGAGGAAGACTGCACTTGACGCGAGCATCAACGTCAAGCCCGGTCTGTGTTTGTGGCGGCCGCAAGCAGCTGGTCGGTGAAAGGACGTCTTCTTTTTGAACGCTCGGAAGCCTTCGAGCAGTGCGCGTATGCCCCCGGCGAGTACACGTTGCACAGGTAAGCGCCCTTTAACACCACCGTCCCGTGTGACGTCGGCCGATGATCGCGCCCAAAGAAGTATCGAAATGTCGTGGCCCTGACTGCAAAACATGACACCGGGCAGCATCAGCTGAAGTCAATAGACGATCGCAACATAGCTGCCTTTCACCAGTTTTCAATACTTGCGTGCAAAAGCCAGAGGTTGATCGTTTTCCTGTAGCTTAAATGAAACTAGTATTGATATGCTTCACGTATGTATGTATGCATATGTGTGTGCATATATGTTCCACACAGTCAAATCAGTGTTGCAGATGGCAAATGAG